AAGGATGTAAAACCAGTTCACCGAATGTGTGAACACAGGTAAAGGGAACGTCAACTGCAACGCCAGCCCTGTCCGCCCGGCAATCCGTCCTTGGGGGTATAACGAGCACCTACAGACCCAGGAGGAAGCAGGCAACCTCCACAGCTTTGTAATTTCTTTTTCTTATTTTTAAAAAGGAAGGGAGAGTGATAGAAACAGCAATGATAAAAGAGAATCATAGGTTGGCTGCCTCCTGCACGCCTCCTACTGGGGATCGAACCCACAACCCGGGCACGTGCCCTGATGGGGAATCGAACCCTGACCTCCTGATTCATAGGTCCACACTCAACCACTGAGCCACACCGGCCGGGTTAGCCTTTTTCTGAAAGGAAAAAAATCCATCAATACAGGTGGATCAGGGAACAGTCCAGAAAACACATCCATCACCACAGCCTGGCACTTCCCCCGTGAAGTGGGCACAAACAGGCGGGGAAAGAGATTTCTAAGGACTGCCATCGCGTCCTCACACCTGCCAGACATGTCCAGACCCACTGGGTCACGGTATTCAGGAGCTTGTGAGGCGTGATCACACACGTGCTCTGCTATGACCGCAGCACGGAAGGCAAGCACACGGAGAGCTGGCTCACACACCAGACCCCAGATCCACGCTGCCACGGAGGCCACAGGTACAGGCCACAGGGGAGGTATCACAGAGAACGGAATTCAGACACACCCACTGCAACCTCCGCAGGTGGCCAAGGAAACACCAAGTCTCACACCCACAGCCTCCAGTCCACTTGGTTTCCTTGTCACTGCGTTTCCCCAAATCGCCGTCTAGCGTCTCTCTCCATCCATTGAGGGACAACCAACCTGGCCAGCAGTGGTCCGTGTATAGCTTCCCAGTGGCGGCAATCCAGAGCTTTGGGGGCTGGGCCCGCCTGGTAACAGTCATATCCCTGATACTCAAGGAGACTGGAAACCAGAGGCGTTTGGCATGGTAGGCAAGCGGGGAAAGGAGAAGGCACCACAGCTAAGTAAACCGAGGAATAGCTAACAGGAGCAGGAGCAGAGCCCGCCTCCGCAACCAACGCTCACTTTGGAGCGTCTATTATGCTCCACTGTCTACTTGGATGCCCTCATTCCAGTCCTGCAGCAGCCGGAAGGCAGGTGTGGACATGACCCCGGGGCTGGGAAGAGGAAACGGAGGCGCGGGGTCCTGAAGTCGCTCCAGCCACACCGCACCTGCCAGGTGGGGGCGCAGGAAGTGGGACCACGTGGGCGCGGAGGGACTCTGCCCGGCTCACCCAGGGGCTCACCCAGGGGCTCCCCGGTGCCCACCTCCAAGCGCCGCCAGCACCACTGGCCTCCACCCCGCGTCCTGGAGCTCGGACCGCGCAGCTCCTGCTCAGGCAGGTTCTGTGGGCCCCTCGGGGGCTCAGCAGGCAGAGCAGGTGGGGCTGAACCCGCCGGTCCCCGCCCGCCGGCCTGAGGAGCCACCGCACCCCTGCTCCACGCCCGGCCTTCCCCGCACGCCTTCCCCGCCTCCAGCGCGACCCCCGCGGTTACCTGGACCGCGTGCGTGGCCTCCGCGGCGTTCGCGGGCGTCCCGGCCCCGGACCGAGCGTGCACAGCGCAGGCGAGCGGGGCTGCGGGCGGCGGGCGGCGGGCGGCGGGGCGGCGGGGCGCAGTCTGCGGGGCAGGCGGGCAGGCGAGCCGGCCTCCCGCTCCCAGCCCCGCTCTCCGAATCAATCACTGCGCCCGCACCCGCCCCAGCTGCCCGCACTCAGGAAAAAGGTGGGGGCAGGAAAAGAGCGAGAAGAGAGAGAAAGGACAGGGGGAGGGGCACCCAGCGCAGGGGCGGCTCAACCCGCATCTCCAGCGCCCCAAGTCGGTCCCGGGAGCCATGGCAACCACCAGGCCTGCCCTCCGCCCCGCACCTCCAGCCCCGCCCCCTCCAGTTTCTCCCCCCACCACCACCTGCCCACAGGTCTCCCGCCTCAAGCTGGCAGGGCCTACGGAACCCCCAGGGGCCCTGGAAGGCAGACAGGGCGGTGGGGTACCGCGCCCCACTTCCCCAGAGGGTCAGCCCTGGAGCGGGGAGGCGAGGCCAGGACTGACTGCAAACCCAGCTGGACCTGCCCCCCCCCCGCCCCCGCCTCCCGCCACGGCTGTCCTGTCCTGGGGGGTCCGGAGTCCTCCCGGAGAGCAGGGGGCGAGGCGGGGGGGAAGCTGGAGGCACCCACGGGTCCTCCTGGTGGCCCCGCAGAGAAAGTGGGCGCCTAGGGATCAGGGACCCGCCGCCTCCCCACTCCCCTGGGACCCGGCTGTCTGAAGGCGGCCTCCACGCCCCCTCTCCCCCAGGGGCTCGGCTGGGAAGGGGGGGTCCCTCCCGGGGAATGGCTGCGGGGCCAGGACGGAACCTGGTCTCGCACCTCCGAGGCCACCATGGGACGCCCCCTCCCAGGAGTGACCCCGAGCCTCCGCGCATCCGCCCCCCCGAGTTGGCTTTTGGGCGACCCCGGGCGAGCCAGACACCTGCCCACCTTCCCGCCCGCCGAGGACACACCTGCGTCGCCGGTGGCCCCCGGTCCGCTGAGCACGTCCCCGGGTCCAGCGGGGAGCGGAGAGGACGCCCCCGAGTCCCAGCAGCGCCGCTGTGGCCGCGGGCGCGGGACCGGGACCGGCTTGGCTGCTCCGCTCCGCGCCTCCCGCGCCTGCCGCTCGCGCCTCCGCTCCGCCCGCGTCTGCGCCGCCTCCCTGCGCTCCCTCCCGTGGGACGGGGTGGTCACGGCTCGGGACGCGCGGGACTCTCCGCAGCGCAAACGTGGGCCCGGCCCGTCTGCGGCCAGAGGAGGCGGGGTCCCCGCCGCTGCTCCCGCAAAGGGGTGTCCGAGGCCGCCTCCTGCGCGGTGGCCGGCTCCGCGGCTTCCAGAGGCGCTGGCCAGGCCGGGTCCCTTCGCCGCGGGCAGGAGGGCGTGGTGGCCGCCCGGGAAGGGCGCTGAGCTCAGTCTCCCTCCCACTCCAGGCCGGCTCCATAGGCTGCCTAATTGTGACATATGCAAATTAACCTACCCCTGTTACCACTTTAAAAACTGTTTGTCCTGATACTTGCTGGTCTGTGATTTCACCATAGCGCTCCCTGATGTTTTTCTCACTTACTCTGCGTTAATTCGGGAATGTGGGGTAGAAGACAGCCCCTGGCACTCACCCCAGTAACAGAGGCCATTTCCCGGACTCCCCATGGCCGCCAGAAAATGTAAAGGTTACTTTCGGATTCCAAAATGATTTGGAGAAAGTGACAGTCTTTAGCAGAATACGGGATTTGCATATCTCTTTCATTTTTTTCTCACCATAATCAGATTTTCCAATTGTTCACACAATACCACTTAACAAAAATGCTGTTGCATTTACGTCTGCTTTGATGGGAAGAGAATCACTGATCTGCCAGGGGAGTGAGGTGGGCTCCGCTCTGGCCTTGTTCTCACCGGCATCAAACAATAAGGACATTCAGAGCCGTGGGCCACCCTCGGGGTGATGCCACCGTCCCCAGTGGCACAGGGTGGACTCAGAACTCCCCTTCAGAAGCCGCCAAATAAGACATTTTGAAAATGAGTGAATGGACTGGTGAATCTTACTAACTGCTGGCCCTGGATCCGGATTCTGCCGGTTTATGTGTGGGCACTGGTCCCGCTGCCTGCCTGCCTTGGCACTGCCAATGCAAGTGAGGGCAGGACTGGCCCTGAGTTTCAATTGCTACAGGAATCTCCCTGCCGGAGGCATCGTTATTCACGCGGCATGCTTTCTAAAGTAGAAACCAAGGCAGAATACTGAATAAATTCTCCAACAGGGGAAATACCGTGCCTGTAGGAAGGCATGTCCAAGGTCAAGGAGACGCAAAGCCAAGTTGGCTTTCCGGAGTGGGCCACCCTCTGGGTGTGCACCCACTCAGCAGAAGGCTCAGAGCCCCACCCGGGCCGGGCCAACAGGCCACTCCCGCACATGCAGCTTGTCTTTTCTCTGCGATTTGTTTGCTTCCCATTAGAATCATTGAAAAGTGAAGTATTTGCCCAATCGGCGTGGCTCAGGAGCTGGGCTTTGACCTATGAATCAGCAAGTCACAGTTTGATTCCTGGTCAGGGCACATGCGGGGGTTGCAGGAGGCAGCTAGTCCATGATTCTCTCTCATCATTAATGTTTCTATCTCTCTCCCTCTTCCCTTCCTCTCTGAAATCAATAAAAACATATTTATAAATAAATAAATATAAAAGACAAGTATTTATTGAGCACCTGCTACTTACCAGTCGTTGTTCAGGTGCTTAGTCCAGTGGAAAATTCAGTAGATAAGACCAGTTGCTTTTCTTTAAATCAAATATCCAAAATGTATTAGAGAATAGCAAGGCATGATACCTGCCGCGAGAAGATGGTCGGTTCTCAAATATGGGTTTTTCTTTGAAGGGGAACCACATAAGGCTGAGCATCTGACACTGCGTATAAATGAGGAACTAAGAGCCCAGGGCTTACCAGGGGCGGTCCTGAGGTCAGCATACACACAGCGCTCTCTGCCCCAGGCTGCGGGCCTTAACACAGGAGGGAGAGAGAGGGGGGAAAGGTAAGTGAGGAAAAAAGGAGGAGGGGGAGGAGGAAGGGAGGGAGACAAATCATTAGCCAAGGAAGGAGAACAGTATTTGAGAGAAAGATGGGAAGTACTTTAGCCACCGAAAGGATGTCATTTAAAGTAGGCATGGCCGACTTGGCTCAGTGGGTAGAGCGTCGGCCTGCAGACTGAGGGGTCCCGGGTTCGATTCTGGCCAAGGGCACATGCCTGGGGTGCTGGCTCGGTCCCCAGTGAGGGGTGTGCAGGAGGCAGCCGATCAAGGATTCTCTCTCATCATTGGTGTTTCTATCTCTCTATCCCTCTCCCTTCTTCTCTGACATCAATAAAGAAATATATATATTTTTTAAAAAAAATAAAGGCATGCCAAATGGAGGCAGGTGACGTCCATTTCCACCTCCAAGAAACACCTCCCAGCGTTATCTCCAAGGATAGGTTCAAATCTGTAATCATCAGGGGCAGCCAGCCAGAGGGGACGTGTGTGGACAGAGGCTTGGGCTGCTGAGCTGGAACCCTCCCTGGGCTCCCATCCTGTCCGACACTTTGTTCAGACCCAGCTGCTCTCCCGGGTGATCCTGGTCCATCAGGCACCACGCGCACGGGGGTGCTGGGGAGAGGCTGGACTCTCGGGCCTCACGTGGAATTGCGATTGCATTCGCTTTGAAAGGTGTGGATTTATCGCTCCCAACTGAGGACGGCTGTGTGCAATAAAACGACGCTATCCAACCACAAACGAGGGGGGGCGGGGGGCTGGTTCAGGAGCAGAAGCAGAAGGTGAGAGAGATAGGCCGGTCATCTGGAAAAAGAGAAGGTACTGGGGGCGGGGTCACATTCAGCCCTTCCTGCTGACCTACGGCCCACGCTGCCTGAACCAGGGCCTCGTGTCATTCCCAGAGCGAGGCCGAGGGAGGAGAGGAGCCGTTGGCAAAGCCCAGAGCTGGTGATCTGGCGTCTTTCCTAGAAAAACTGCTCAGCAGAAGAGCTGCAGCTTGGAAATGCCAGTCCTGTCTGGCAGGTCTGACACTCACAGCCCAGCTGGCTGCTGCACGGAGGAGGAGGGCAGCCTGCTCGGTCGGGGAACCCTGCCCACAGCCTCCAGGTACAAAGCCGCACCTTCAGCTCCCCTGTTAACAAAGCACAACAAGAACCTTCAGCTCCCCTGTTAACAAAGCAAAACAAGAACCTGCGCAGTGCAGAAAGGAACTCGCAGTAGATCCTCCTTGAACACGTCCTTTAACACAAGAACAGAAGGATACCGACTGCAACCAAAGGTCAACGCCTCCGGAAAAACAAGAAGGGAGACCTTGTCTTTTGTGCCGTGGATCGTTAATATGTGTGATCCAGCTTCGGGGCCATGGAACCAGACAACTTCGCCAGGTTTTAAATCTAGACAATGTAAGGGCCCCTTGTCAACATTATCCTCCCGGAGCCACATCGCGCTGTGTTCTCAGATCCCATGCTTTCAGCATTTGTGGATTCCTTCTGAGGCACAAGCCCACCTGTCTCAAGTGTATGCTTCCCAGGCTCGCCGGTGACCAGGTGCAGCCCCAAGGCTACAGGGACAGAGGAGAACTGCTGTAGGAAACGTCCAGGTCACCTCCTTAAAGGCATCGTAGATTCTTTCCCGTCTGGCAGCCCCATCCACAGTGAAGAAAGCCTCATGTTGAGGGGAGCAGAAGGCCCCCCTTGCCTGAGTCCCCAGGTGACTGCACCAGAGCCCGCATTTCACCATGAATGTCTCTGGATGGAATCTCTTCATTATAGCTGCTTCGTCATCCCCCTAATTAATTGTAATCACTGTCATCAGGACAATCTTAGAACAGCCAATGAAAATTAAAATGGAGGCCACAGTGGTGGTCTGTTGTCTTTTCCTTGGCCCGGCATTGATCCACATTCCTGCAGCTCAGCCCTAGAGAATAACACCTCTGGCGTGTGGCCCAGGAGGGGCACTTCCGATGCTCCCATCAACCTCTGGTCCAGGTGAATGGCACAGGTAAGCACAACCAGTATTTCCATCCCTGTCTGGGGTGATGGAGCTTTGAAAGGCATCAGACTCACAGGGAGGAGGGAGATGGGATCAGGCAGGTTAGGGTAAGGGCCTTGGGGAGGGAAGATGGTAGATAAGGAGGGAATGAGCCAGGTGGTCAGGATGTGAGCAAGACAGGCACAATGTACCAGTCAACCTAGAGCTGCCCTTCCCCCTGAACCCAAGAGCAGGAACTATAAGTGGGGAGAGGAGGGCAAAAGGAGACTGGCTGGTGCTTGTGTGACAGAGACCACGGAGGGCAAGAACAGGAAATATAAACCCCTAGACTAGTGAGCTTCTGCGGCTACTCATTTCGGGACCCCCCTTGCGTGCAGAGAGCTTTGTTACTTTCAATGTAATAAACTTTGCTTCCCTTTGCTTACCCCTCCCTTGCCCCTGAATTCATTCATCAACTTCTGGAGACAGTGAACCCAACAGCGCACACCCCTGTCTCAAAAGGAGCCAATGGGAGACCTGCTTTGGGACTTACACTCGAGCTATCGGAAAAAGTGAGGACACAGCAGGTGTGACGTGAGCAGGAGAAGCTGGCTGCGTCCAACACCCCTTAGGAAGAGCGTCCCTGAGAATAAAGCCACACGAGGGACGAGAAAAGGAGAGAGCAGACACTTACACTCTCATTTCTCATCAGCTGAGCGCCTATTGTTTATGAAAAGCTGAAACTGGAATACTTCTTGACCCTGGAAGAGGTGAGCAAAAATTGTTTTAACCTAAAACGGCTTGACTTGGTCGTCTGTTTCCTGTGATCAAAATCGTTCTTATTCACTACAGATTCCGTAGTAAGGTTATTCTCTTGTTATAGGTTGGTTAGTAAAGGAATGAGCAAGGCAAAAGGTCTTCTTTTTCATGAAATAACCCATCTAATTGTTGGTGACTCCCTGAGGTACTGTGTCCGGAGGGTCCCAACGCTGTGTGTGAGTTGGCAGAAGGTACGAAGGAGTCTTTTAATGACCCTGGCCACTGATATTATACAAGGAATGGCTCTCATGTGGTAGGTATTCACCACCCTTGTTTTAAGACATTCCTCGTTTAACGATGGCATAAACCTAGACAGGTGGGCAGGGGGGTTGTAAAATTATGGTATATTGGTAAATTCTTTGTGGGCACATTTTTATCAGTTTTAAAGAGAGCCATGGACCAATTAATCCTCTCCACGCAGTATTTAGCGGCCATAATTCATGCTTTCAATTGACTTTTTCCCCAGAAAAATAAACAAACTAATTAGCAGACAAGTATTTAAATCACAAATTGCTCACATGTGATACACTGTGTTAACACCACCCATGACTCAGTTACCGGCACTGCACTGGATTTGTCTTCTTTCAGAAAAACAATATTTCTTTTCATTTATTTAAAGTATATAAAGCTGTTCAAACCAAAAAAAAAAACAGAGCCTAGCTCTTGCTTTCAATAAAACTGACAAGTCCCCTAACTTAAGAGGAAATACACATTATCACAGGTACATAAAAATATTTTACATATGAAGATATGTTTCAATGCTTTGTATTTCCTGTATTTCCTGAACCACAGCATTTTCATAATGTGGATTTCACCCGGTGTGTTTATTGTTAGCACAACTACAGAAGCCCACAGAGGTTTTGCAGAAAGATGGTCCCAATTAGATAAACATGAGAATCCTCTTTCCAGATCCAAATCTGACAACATTATCTCCCGGGAAGAGATCATTAAATTATGATTTAGTCACAGGCTCTTCCCGGATTAGAATGCAGAGCACTTAACTATTTGCATCTGAAAACAAAGTGGAATAAAGATAGCCAATTTAAAACAAAACAAAAGAACTTAAAATGTGCCTAAATCTGACTGACTGGCTCAGGAGGAAGAATAAAGCAGCTCTCTGTATAAAGTGTCCTTTCTGCTACGTGTGCCCAAAGGAACATGGCCTGTGGTGGGAACAGCGAGGACGGACTCATTGATCAAAATCTTCCACACAAGGTAACGAACAACCATTCCTGTTCATCAAACATGTTTTCTTTGCTTTATTCCAACAAATAATACATTTTTTTTTTTGGGGGGGGGAGGTAGACAGGCTCGTTTTTGATTCTCAAAATGGCACTGATGGTTACTGGAGGACCAGACACAATGGTTATGAACCAAGAGGAGGTTTCTCTGTGGTATCTCATCCGCTCTCATGTCATATCGACTCTCTCATGCAGCAGCTGGGTATCGTGAACAACAGAAAGATGATATTTCTAACTTTTCATAATATCCCAGTAACCAGAGATGGTGAAAGCATAACGCATTTCTGTGAGTTCTCAAGACCGTGACAAGTGCTAGCCGTCCAGTTAAAAGGGGGTACAAGATGGGATAAATAGCATCTTTTATGTTCCAAAACCCTCTCCTTTACGAAGTCGAGGACACTATACCTTTGAACATTCATAAAATGCCACAAATATAATGTACATACAGGAGACACAATTTTCCATTATTGCTACTCAGGTAAATGCAAATGGAGTTTGTATAAACTGATACTATCTGGCAGCCTGGTACCCGCCCCATTTAACTGGCCCACCCATTACAAACATTTAGCTATAGCGCACATCTAAAATGCTCACCAAGACATCGAACGAAGCACCATGGTAAGCCTGTGAAGAATGTAAAATGCTACTGAAGTATGTGCATTTGGATAGTAAGTGAATGTAGTTATGGGGATGGATTACACACCTCACTGACTGATTCTCACGGAAATGACCTAAATTCTAAGTGCTGGCGCCAGGCTTGGAAGGTGTCCCTGGCAGTAAACTTCCCGGAAAGTTGGTGAGCACTGCCAGGCATATGCTCACACTGACGAATCACACACATCCATCCCCAGGGCCAGGAGAAAGGCACTGCCATGCCAACCTTCACGCCCTCCGCAAGAATCCGCTCAGGCCATAACTTGACTCCGAGGACCGAGCAAACCACAGCGACGGGGACGCTCCCAAAGGCCGTGTTTACCGAAGGGCCAGAAGAGGTTTCCCATAAACCGCCGTCCGGGCCCCACTCTTTTGTCCTGTTTTATACTTTTACCGCAATAAACTCCTGTCCAGTAAGTTATGGGGTTTTCTCACCACCGCGTGACCTCCGATGTCAGGTGAAACTGTCCCTTGTCAGGGGAAATGGATGTGGCCCCGATGGGACTGGGGTTTTGTTCCGATCCTTTGGCAAATGGATCTGTTTCCTTGGGAACCGGTCCTGGGGCCTTCTTGCCAAGAGCATCCCTGTCGTCCTGTCCACTCTGGGCAGTAGGTCTGATGCTGTCTGTCTGAGGAAGACAGGCGACTGGTTTCCCATCAGGAAAAGGACACAGGAAGTGTTGTTAAACGGGGCGGGGACAGGCATATTCAAGTCAGAAATGTGCCCACTCGCCCGGCCAGCATGGCTCAGTGGTTGAGCATCAACCTATAAACCAGGAGGTCATGATTCAATTCCTAGTCAGGGCACATGCCCGGGTTGTGGGCTTAAGCCCCAGTGTGGGGTGTGCAGGAGGACGTCGATCAATGATTCCTCTCATCATTGATTTTTTTTCTCTCTCCCTCTCCCTTCCTCTCTGAATTCAACAACAATCTTTATATATAAAAGCCTAAGTGACCGTCTGACCGACCGACCGACTGACCGACTGTCTGACCGGTAGCTATGACGCGCAATGACCACCAGGGGGCAGACACTCAATGCAGGAGCTGCAGAACTGCGGTGAACTGCCCTCTTGCAATCTGGGACCCCACTCACTCCTCAGATACCCTTCGAGCCACAGCACTGCCCCAGGTGCAGCCAGCCAGGAGGGACCACGGAATGTTGGCTCCAGGGCATGTCCTGCCTGTCTTGCCCAGTCCCACCAGCCACCTTCTAATTAATTTCCTTTCAGTGTGCACGAATCTGTGCACCAGGTCACTAGTATATTATTAAAAATAAAAAAGAAAGAAAGAAACGTGCACAGCAAGGTCAGAGACATAACAAGCCAAAAACCTGAGCAAACACTTCCCTGAATAAACAGAGGTAATGGGGAGAGAAAAAGAAAAAAAGACAAATTCCATAATGCAAACTAAAAATGCTTTCCCCACAAAATGGATATTTATACCCTTACTTCACATTTCTTGAGAAATGAATATTCCTATCAGTAAAACACGTGGTATGTCAGGCACAGCACGGTAACGTGGGCTTAACACTAAGACCATGAAGACTTTAAAAGGGAAGTAGAAAAAGATGCCACGTACGCAGCTGACGACGGGAGGCATTTTGTGGCCCTCACACTGTGTACGTATTTCTCAGCCGCAAGAGAAGGCTCAGGCTCGGGAAATGGCATTGATACCGTTTTTCCTGTGAACTGTCTTCAGATACGGAGTAGCCTGGGGTGCGTCTGGATCACCATCCAATCCACACACATACACACTGTACAGGCACGTCTCGTAGATCGGGAATAACCCACTTTCTCACATTTGGAATAAATGGAACTTGAGTCTGTTTTACAGTGTCCCCTGTGGTTATAGCACCGGGGACGCAGCAAAGACCACCCTGGACACCTAAGGAAGCACCGGCTCCTCCCACACCCCCACCTGGAGAGACCCCTCCAGGGCCTCCCCAAGTCAGAGCCCTGCCCAGGGAGCCCTGCACAGTCTCAGGATGGCATCCGGGGCCTGTTCGACCCTGTGAGGCTCTGACCACACGGTCACCTGCAGGCCCCTCTGGAGGAAGAAGAGGAACATCCTGCTGTGAGCTGGAGAGCAAGGTGGGATCCCCACCCTCCACAGCCCACACCAAGGCTCCAAAGACCCAGGGGCTTCCTGTGGCAGGTACAACCCCGCCAGGTCAACTGCACCTGCTGCAGCCGATGTGCCTCCCCAGCCATATGGTCCCATTCTTTCGAACAGCCTTCTCATTAAGGCCCCCGGTGACTACCGCCAGGTTACCCAGAGAGGTAAACTATTTTCAGTAGCTCCTCTGGCCTTTATACAGACAGTCCTCGGTTACGTCGGACTTGATGTACGTCGTTTCGTGGTTACATCGCCATCTCCCATTTATTTATAATAATAATAAAAAAAAAGTTCCACCATTTTGACGTATGTACATATTGCTTTATGTTTTTTATTATTTACTTACCACAGGTAAAGGCCAGGAATTGTTACCTTTCTTTTAATTTTTTTTTGCTGTTTCACTTTGTTACTGCTGTGTACGTGCTCCAGGTGAGTGACGTAGTGCTTATGTGGGTGGGTCCGGCTTACGGAGAAAATCGCGTTACGCTGTGCCGTAGGAACGGATCTCCGACGTAACTCGAGGACCTACTGTAATCAAAACAATAAACCACCCAAGGAGAGCCGAACAAGCTTCTCTGATGAAGAAGGAAATGTCATAAAGGCAAGAGATAAACAGAAAAGTGCGATTCCATGAACATCACAGCAGAAAAGTGTCAGGGAAATGGAATTTGGCAATATTATATAAATAAAAGACTTTGGATTAACAAATCGCTGACTTTGGTGATATTTTGGTAGGATTCTGTTTCTATAAATTGTATTGCATTAAGGATGGGATTATTAAGATATTAATAAACTCTTACCAAGCTTTTACCAGGTGCCAGGCACTGATCTGTATCTAGATCAACTCAATAAGTGCACACAAAACAAACCACCCTCATCTGATGTCATGATACGGCAACATAAAGGATGAAGCAACGGCCTGGGGGAGGCAGAGTGGGGGCCTGAGTCCCAGGCAGCGAGAGAGGGTCCGGGGACCACCGCTGGGTCTGACTGACTCACACATGCTTTTTTGCACAATCTGGCAGATCTGACAAATGTACAGAAAAGCCAGCAGATTCCCAAGAAGGCACTGCTGGTACAAAGGAGACAGGTGAGTGTGGAAGGACCACGAGGAGACGACAGCTGAAAATACGGTGAATACAAGACGCCTCGGGATTTAAGGAGCAGGGCTTCTGTTTTTATGGGCAAGAAGGAACCACCCTTCCTCGAAGACAAGTCAAGGTCAGAGGGGCTGACCATAGCATCCTCTCGCCGTATCCCACCTCTGTCTTCGCTTCCTGCTTCCTCTTTACTTCCCTCACCAGCTCCAGCAGGTACCTGTGGTTCCAAGGCCGGTTTTCCCAAAGTACTTTGTTCTTACTGAGTGACAGGGGATAGTCCATGGGGCACCCAGGTTAGTCAGAGCACAGCACCGCCATATTTAAAAATACATATATCTTTATTGATTTCAAAGAGGAAGGGAGAGAGAGGGGGATAGAAACATCAATGATGAGAGAGAATCACTAAATATCTGCTTCTTGCACGCCCCACACTGGGGATGGAGCCCACAACCCAGGCATGTGCCCTGACTGGGAATTGAACCGTGACCTCCTGGTTCATAGGTTGACACTCAACCATTGAGCCACACTGGCCAGGCAGCACTGCCATATTTTGGTGGTCCTCCTGGCGGTCATGCAGGCTCATTGCCTGTGCACGAGTATCTGAGCACAAGACTGACATTCTTGCAAAATGACAAATTCCCTAATAGGCCGGAGGAAGAGCTGCCAAACCAGGGCCTGTAGGCTGAGGCTGGCCTGCCAGCAGTTTTGTAAATAAAGATTTATTGGAACGTTGTCATGTTCATTTGTTTCCGTATTTTCGATGCGTGCTTTTGTGGACCACTCCGTAGCTGAGTAGTTTCCACAGAGACCATCTGAACCCCCCAACACCTAAACTATTTACTACCTGGCCCTTTACAGAAAAAGTTTCTCAACCCCTGTCTTGCTTGACCTTTGGGATTGCCAGCAAATATTTACATTGTGAAGAGAAAACTCTCCAAATCCAGATGGTCTCTGAAGATGCTTGATAGAAACATGGCCCGTAACAACTTAGCTACTCATGCCTCCCTCTCCATTGCATGTAACTCTGCCAACTAAACGCCTGGGGGATCACGAGGCAGAGGCTACAGCAGTGATGGCGAACCTTTTGAGCTCGGCGTGTCAGCATTTTGAAAAACCCTAACTTAACTCTGGTGCCGTGTCACATGTAGACATTTTTTGATATTTGCAACCATAGTAAAACAAAGACTTATATTTTTGATATTTATTTTATATATTTAAATGCCATTTAACAAAGAAAAATCAACCAAAAACATGGGTTTGCGTGTCACCTCTGACACGCGTGTCATAGGTTCGCCATCGCTGGGCTTCAGTGTGGGTTTCCAGGCACACCGCTGAGCGAGATGTCCCAGGATGCCTTGCACCTGGGTGGAATTGGGCGACTGAATTCCGGCCATAGGAAGGTTGGAAGAAGAAACACCTGCCCCTTCTAGGGAGAGCCATTCTGTTCTCTCTCTCCGTCCCTGTGGCTTGGAGCCCAAGTGTGGAGGGCAGGGCTCCGAGAGGAAAGAGTCCGCTCTCTGGATTAGCCCTCACAGAGGAGATACCCAGCCTGGAGGACTGACCGTGGGCGATTCTTGGGGCCTTTATGGGCTGGCTTGTGTCCCTTCTGGAAGCATATGTGGAACACGTAACCCCAGGCCTTGGAATGTGACTGCATTTGGAGACAGGACATCAGTCAGGAGTCAGTAAGTTTAAGGGAGGCCGCGTGTGTGGGCCCCATCCAGTCTGACCGGTGTCCTCAGGGGAGGAGGAGACTCGGACACGCAGACACCAGGGAAGGGCACAGAAGAGAGACCACACTGGCCAGGGTGCTCCTCGCCATTCTCCTCCTCTTGTTTCAGAGGTCAGACCTTTATGGTTTCAAAAAAATGTTGGTTTTTTTTAGAGTGGATAGATGAAATACAGTACTTATAAGTATAGCCACCCATTATATTATATATACATACACACACACACACATTACGTAACTCAAACATGTCTACTTGATAATGTATATCAACAAATTAGAACTTTAACATTGCTGAAACACAACCAATGAATTATTTAAAAATTATGACGATTCATTTTAATGCCACGACTTCAACCACATCTGCACCAAGTAAACTGAATAACTGAGTAGTCATCACAATAATCCAGAGCAAAACAATTTTAGGACAAACTACGGAAGCAATTTTTCCTTCTGGATCATCCTGTTCATTGTTTTACCCTGAACTTCACTGCACCATGTGGAAACAGCATTATTTCCAAATCAATATGACTATTAAGTCTGGGTCATTAATTAACAGTCTATTTTCTGAGTTCAGAGGAAATTACACAGGAGGCTATGGCCATAAGGGGTTGGCTCTGTCCAAAGACTAATCTTACGATCAATACAGTAACAATCAAAATTCAAAATGGTTTTCCAAATTGGTTTAGTCAAAACAATGGAACCGTATCTGTATAAAATTACAGCTTAACTCTCACTTTTTCCAGGGTGTTCTCAAAAGCTAGCAAGAGGAGCCCAGTGGTTGAGCGTCAACTTATGGACCGGGTTATGGTTTGATTCCCGGTCAGGGCACATGCCCAGGTTGCCGGCTTGATCCCCAGTGGGGGCCATGCAGGAGAGAGCCGTTCCACGATTCTCTCCCATCATTGATGTTTCTATCTCTCTCTCCCTCTCCCTTCCTCTCTGGGATCAATAGCAATATATTAAAGGAGAAAGAAAGCAAGCTAGCAAAAGGTGAAGACTCATCCATGGACCTTCTCTCCCCGGAGGACCCTGGGCAGTCCATAGAAGGGACATTCATCTTGGGGACTATGGAGGGGGTCTTATGTTTCCAGGGAGCTCTCCTAGTGTGTTTGGTGGGAGGCAAAGGGATGAACTTCAGCTTGAACTGTGGGGGAGACGATGGAGAGTGATTAGGGCTGTGTGTGTGGATGAGGTTAGCAGCCTGGACCATGACCTCCTGAGAAAATGAGACGGAGCGTGCCATGGATTTCTTGTAATCTAATGAAGAGAAGACGGTGAGTGATGGCTCTGAATCAGCGTCCTCCTCCTCTCCTGCCCTGGCTGTGGCTGCCACAGTGCCCCTGGGTTCCCACCAATGCAGAGCTGAGCCCCAAGGGCCGGTCCTTCTCTGCCGGGGGCACACAAAAAGGACAGATTTAAACCTGCCCAGGGCAAACAAAGAAAGACGTCGCCTCCAACTGCCCATGTGTACTTCAGTTTGTATTGCAAGGTCATCTGAAGGCTGGACAATGGACGCATGGAACACACCTACTTCCCTCACAAAATTAAACTATTTACTCTGGACTCATGACTCATCAGCTACAGAACCACAAACACAGGAGGAAGAGGCTGGTGTGGTGAGGACCCCGTCACGGCTTTGCCGTGAGCACCGAGTCCTCGCACGCTAGTTCCTCCTACGCTGAATAATGGAAGGAAAGGGGCAGGTTTCTTTTCTCCTTGTTCCTTAAAGAACAACAACAGCCTGTTGTCCTGCATTCTCCTCTGTGAAACAAGGAAAAAGTCAAGATAAAAAAGAATAAATACCTGAAACCCTTCTCAGGAACCTGTGGCGGTTTCCGGACCTGTGGCTAACACAGCCCCTTGTCCACAGGCTCACTTGTCTTGTGAGATTTCTCTGGAGGAAGTCTGGTGAGGACCTCAGACAGATGTAGCATGTTTGCAGGTGTAAGTTGGGGCGGGGGCTTGCTGTTCTCACCCACGTTGTAAGATAACCTCACATCAGGAAGTGAATTCAACTTTCAGAATCATCCCAAGGCCTCATCTGCAGAACCCTCACAGCTGGCTACATGCCCTGGAGGTCATACGAGAGCACTGGAGGTCATATGTGAGCACCGGAGGTCATATGAGAGCACCGGAGGTCATATGTGAGCACCGGAGGTCATATGAGAGCACCGGAGGTCATATGAGAGCACCGGAGGTCATATGCAAGCACTAAAGGTCTTCTGAGAGCACTGAATGTCATATGAGAGCACTGGAGGTCATACGAGAGCACTGGAGGTCATATGCAAGCACTGGAGGTTATATGCAAGCACCGGAGGTCATATGTGAGCACTGGAGGTCATATGAGAGCACCGGAGGTCATACGAGAGCACTGGAGGTCATATGAGAGCACTGGAGGTCATATGAGAGCACTGGAGGTCATATGAGAGCACTGGAGGTCATACGAGAGCACTGGAGGTCATATGCAAGCACTGGAGGTCATATGAGAGCACTGGAGGTCATATGCAAGCACTGGAGGTCATATGAGAGCACTGGAGGTCATATGAGAGCACTGGAGGTCATACGAGAGCACTGGAGGTCATACGAGAGCACTGGAGGTCATATGCAAGCACCGGAGGTCATACGAGAGCACTGGAGGTCATATGCAAGCACTAAAGGTCTTCTGAGAGCACTGAAGGTCATATGAGAGCACTGGAGGTCATATGCAAGCACTAAAGGTCTTCTGAGAGCACTGAAGGTCATATGAGAGCACTGGAGGTCATATGCAAGCACCGGAGGTCATATGAGAGCACTGGAGGTCATATGCAAGCACTAAAGGTCTTCTGAGAGCACTGGCGGTTTTTGGTACAGTAGGGTGGTCATTTCAGGGTTGAGC